AATAACTTTGAGAAGAGTTGTGATTTCACTGCACAAGTTAATATATTAAGTGGACCTTGAATGCTAAGGTGAATACATTTAAAAGCACTTTCCGTTTTCCAATTTCAGCAATGGAATGGAGTTTTTTTATGGAATGAAATCGAAATGCGAAAAACTAAATATTCCACTCTCTGGCCCCAAAGAATATGACATACCGCACTCGTGAAATACATGGTAAATCTCGTTTATATGTAATTCTGCAAAGTGCGGCAAACGCTAGATATCACTTTTATTTTTAAACTGATCAAGCATTCAGAACAAAGGATGAATGTGGGAAAAGGACAAACATGTCAGAAAGTGTTGGCATTCGCAATCGACGATGACACGAGATAACTTTGTCCAGTGAAACACTTGAGACTTGGAAATCAACATGCATCTCTTCTTATCAGAACAGATGCATGTTGATTCTCCTTTGTATCCCCTCTAAAGGGATTTCCCGCCTGATAATGCAAGGTATATACTCAAAGTAATCCATACACCCTTCGGTTTGGAACAGGAGCAGGAGAAAATCCGATTTCGTCATATTGGGAGAAGAATGAATACTCATCATGGAGAAACTGATCTCTCAATCGTTCTTTCCTTTCTGTTTCTTTCTCGCGCTATAGCGATAACTCTTAGATTTGACAAAAGTTGCAAAATCTCTCGCCCTATGCAATCGGAAAAAAAGTGGATCTCCATCCATTTCCTCACAATTCCCTTGGCTTTTTTCCTGGAGGTACATTAAAAGACAGATCCTACTACATACAGCATATGGATCCTACATACAAAGACAGATCCAAAGCATACAGATCCTAAATCCAGCAGCTCCTTCAAGATAACTCATCCACAAATTCCCCAATCATTTAGGAAGTTCTTCAATTTCATATAATATTCCCGCCAAATAAAAACTTTCGCTGGGAATTAATAATAAAGAATTTTCAAGGAGTTTAATATGCTTCGCAGTCTGAAGCAACCGGGAAGCGCATGACGATGGTCTCGGGTCTGTCTTGGTTCTCGCAGGACTAAGAACTGCACCAGACAAATACTATGAAAACGGCAAAGGAATTCCCAGCGATTTGCGAGGTAGACATATTTCTGCAATTAAGAACAGAAACGGGTTATCGTTTTAAGTCAATGGAGAATGATTACTTAATAGCAGTTTAGGCGAAAAGAGAGTCCATAATGAAGACAGTTCTCATGATGAAGAGACAAAGGTTTTGAAATAAATTTCGACCGAGTGCATCAAATGACGGTATTTTGGAAGTTCTCCCCATGAATTAGTCGATATTCCCGATCCAAAGAGTCCGGTGCAGTGAAACTAATCATTTTGCTATTCAATAGAGAATAACTCCAAATGAAACTTACATGGGCTGGAGATCAATGAAACTGGTATTGGAAGCAATGAATAGCCTAACGAACGAACTCATTCCATACTGAAATTGGAAATTAGAAATGTATCTTCGTTCATGGAAATGCGCTTCCGCGCATTGAAGAGATGGAACAATTATATCTAGGGGTCAATTTTCCTATGGGAAGATATCGTGAGACGGTTTCGAATAGCTAAATTTCAGGTGGAATAATCTAAATGAAACATCCACATAAACGCGCTGCGTGCATAAAAAAATCTTACGGTTCTAAAGTCCCTGTGGTCTTCGTATTAGTGAGAGCTACCCATTCGCTACCATTGGGTCGCCCGAGGGATATTTTAAATTCAGCCTTGATATCTGGTTCGTCGAAGCAGGGAAATGCTTTCCGGGCATCCGTAGGCAGGAAATGTGAAACCGCCAAGTGCCTGGAAAAAGAAATCGCAAATTGAAACTGATCAACCATACGCAAAGTCATGGATATGAAATTAAAAACTATACACCTTTGATATTTCCAAATAGTTTACATGTTCCGTTTATTTCAGATATAATTTGGGTTGCTTCAGCTGTGTGGAACCCAAGAAAATATTAAATAAAGAGAAAGACTAAGTGGTTTTATAGTTTTTCCCCAAATTTTTTGGTGGTCTCTTTCTGAGCTGTTTTGGGTAGAGGTGGCCCTGGGATAGTCAGGCTGCAGTTCCCCTAGCCGAGGCCCAAGGGAACCTGTGGACTTGAAGTTCTTGAGAAAAGTGCCGGATTTAACTTTAGTGACAATCTACGACAGCTTCTTTCAGGGAAAATATATACGCCATTCAAGAGAAGCTTGAGAAGACGAGAACTTGTGAGGTCATATCTGTTTGGGGGTTCTGGATCGGCACTCACAGTTTACAAGCTAGAGTTTATGAGTCTCTAAGAAGGTAGGCTGGTCAGTTTCCCGAAAGGTTCTGGTCTATCGTGACTTTTAACTTCGTCGTCATCCAAATTTAAATATTCACGGTGTAGGCTAAATCACACGATAGAAGGAAGCTTAGAGAGCGGTAGAGAATTGGTTGACTTGCAGAAGGTTAATTTGACCGCTCTGGAAGTGGCGTGGGGCTACTTAGAGAGGGCAGGAATGAGTCCTTATTTGTGCCAAACAGAGGCACAGGAAGTGGCCTACCACATGGCAAAGAGTATGGACTCCCAGTAACATTTTGGTTGGGGAGGGTAGATATCGTTGAAGGGAGAAAGGAGGCTTCGTGAGTCTGCCGTCCTCAGGGAAGAGGAAGGAGACTTCTGGAGAAATCAACTTCTATCCAGAGAATACGGTCGGATTCATTGACATACAGAAACGCAAAGTTTAAATTTATTGCAATCGGATGAAGAAATAGAAGGAACTTCCGTGCTGATACACTGAAAGAGGATTTTTCGCGATGAAAGACGAACATATTCCACAAATTTATGGACTACCCCTCGTAGCAGAAGTTTGCATTCATAATACCTGACAGACACTAACCGAGTTTCGTTGTTCTCGATGTAGGAGCTTAGGTAGTAACCGATGAAGTCATTTTGCAACGTTCCCTGGTACTCTATGTGGATCCGGTATTCCTTGCCCTCCTCCAGGTCCACAGCCAGCATCACGATGAAGAATTATCGTTCCTTGTCATACATCTCGTTTATTTTCTGCAACTCGTCTCCTCCAACCGTCGTGACCTTGGTGCTAATTACCGTGATGTTCTTCATGTGGAGGGTGACGTTGTCGCCAGGGCTGTCACAGCTGAGGTTGATACTCACTTTGCCCGTAATCGGGAAGCTGTCCTCTTGGATTTTCGTCATGATCTACCTTACAAAGCAATGTGCGTGCACTTAATACCAAAGACATACTGGTTCATTTTGGTGATTTAAGAATGGTTTTTGTAAAGCAAGCCTTAGTTTAATTCATAACTTGTTATAAAGTGAAATTTCAAGGAGATCTTTGAGTCGTTCCATTTTGACATCCTAGTTATATGCAATTCGGATGTACCTGGAATGATTCAGGGAAGTTCCACGAATTACCTTATGACTCTTGGGTGCCCACGAATCGTGATATCGTGACTAAATAGGCTTGAAGGGGTGTGCCTTCAATAGTCTCATAGTCCCACATTCGACTGGAAATTTCTGGATGCTTTATTAGCTTAGTGTTACGTCCTAACGGCGAACTTGAGGAAATTGCTGCGGCAGCGTTGTCAGACTTTCATATTCTCCATTTCCAGTAATTTAATACAACTGCAATGGTTCGATCACTAATTATTTAGCGAATATGAATGTCCATTATTATCGTTGCGTTTTATATTAGACACCTTGTATTTTGTGAACCATAATGGAGGGTCCTTGTGACTGGATGATATTCACGTGTATCTATGATTCATAAATACCTCATGATATACATGACTTAGATTTTCGGTGAATATTTATGCCTCGTATCATATATTTTTCAATTGAGGAACAGTTTCCCCTACGTAGTGGGACATACATGTGACCTTTGTACGTCATATTGTATTATTTTCCCACCTTATTCTTTAAATATTATATTCCACTATTAAACTATTCTGTACGTTTTCACTGACCTTGACGTCGTAGAAAGTGGGATGCAGGTGCAAGGGGAGTCGAATATCAACAGGATAATCTGGATTGGGGGGGATGGATGGGTTGGTGGTGGTGTTCGGCGGGTTTGCGGTGGGAGTGATGGTGCTTAGGGTAGCGGTAGGGGTGGTGGTGGTCGATGTATCGGTGGGGAAGTTGGTCAGGGTAGCGGTAGGGGTGGCAGTGGTCTTGGTAGAGGTGGTGGTGGTGGACGTGACTATGGTTTTGGTCATAGTGATGGTTGTAGTCATGATCCCATCCCCTTCACACCCACACCCATTGTCATCGTGACGCCCAGAGGAGAAATAAACAATGAGTCCCGTGGCAACGATGGCTCCGACAGATACGACAGCCAGTAGAAGGGCCACTTTCTTGGACACAGTTATGGTTGAAGAACCCATCATGGAAATGATTCGATCAGGCTTCTAGCAAAGGTTACACGGTCGGGGTCCTAGCAGTGACTCCGGAGTCTCGGTTTTGAACGTCCGCGTCTAAGCAAATAAGCTGATAAAAATGCACTGCGCATCTCAATGGGCACAGCGATAATGCAGCTTCGCTTCCCTTAGACGTGTGAACATACCACGTACATACAAACAGGTGCGCCGTGAGATGTGCCTTGTCACGCAAAGCAGAACTGGTTAGTGGTTTTATAGGCTGTCCTACATCACTTTTCGGGAAACATTTTCAGGGGAGGTTTCAGTAAGCATCGACACATGGAGCTCCGAACCTTGAAACTGGGCCGTACTGATGACGCGTTTGAGGCATAACGGCGTACATTGTTGGAAATTCACTTCGGATAATGACAGAAATGCAGTTCCATATCCATAAATTCCTGAGGACTATGAAAATTCTATTTTGCAGGGAGAATCTAGCTCATATTAATATTCAGAACATAACTGAATTGACTTATAACATTGCTGCACAGGCAAATACGAATGCACACCATTAGATACAGCCAGACAACCACTGTGTCACCGAGGGCGATGTTCTTAAAATAGCTCTGTCTAAATTAGTGCCTCGTTATGTAACGCATTGGCGATGCTGAGGTCAGTCATTCCCATATGTGAACACAGACATTAAAATAGACATGGGCCAACTTCATTTGGACACTCATTTCACAAAAATATCATCCTGGAGGAGAAGGAATTTTGATACTACCCCTCTTATTGATGCGGAGAAGACAGAGGGTGAGGTCCTACACGGAAGACAATCACACTCTGGGCCCAACTAGGCTTTGGTCTAAGACTCATACTCAGCCTAAGGGATGGAGGAACGTTGGGGGAGGATGAGAGGGGTGAAAACCACTTAAACAGTGGTGGCCGAGTGGTTCGGGGTTTCAGGTGAACTGAATTCAAAGGGGATACATAAATTAATAAATACAAGGATACATACATTTAAATGATCCCAAGCAATACTTGAAATACTCGTATCAAGCAAAAAAATGATTTGAAATTCATTTGGTTTTCGTTTCTTCCTGTCGGAACCCTCAAAGAATATTATTACTCGTGGCCACTATTACACTGTTGCAAACAGGAGGAAACAAAATGCTATGTTGTCCTGGAAGGAGTCGTTGTTTTCAGAGACTACCAACCAAAAAGCATCTGTATGTGTTCTATGAACTTTTCATTTAAGTTATTGTCAGCGTTCCATGAACGTCATTGGGAACGTTCTAATGATTGCTTTAATGTCCTAAAATTAAAAACTATGAAAAATAGTTAAAATTATGCGCTCCCTGAACTACGTCAATTTATCAAGGACGTGAAATCGATATTTACAAGAAAAGGGTTCAATAAAACTTTATTTTTCAGGATTCATGCAATATACAATTAGTGTTTTGGAAACGTTGTTTTCATCACCTAAATTTTATTCAGTCCAAGTAGAGCCCGGCTCCCATGGCTGGGGTCAGAAACCATGATGCTAAAGGTACTAACTTTCACTGTGTGAAATAGTATGGTGGTGAAGCGTAGGGCTAGTCAATTATCCGATCCTAGCGAAAGTGTTTCCCACTACAATCTAAAACACATTTTCGGCATTGACGCACAGACGTGAGACCGTAACAAAGGGAAATGAACCACCCAAATGTGGGGGAGTCCGAGTCTCAGACAAATCAGCGGTTGGCATCGTACATCAGCTCATACGAATGGAGGAAGACAGGGAACATGTAGCAAGCAGCAAAGTCACGGTTCCCAAATCACCATTTTTTTTACTGCAAGCTCGCGGTTCCATCTAATATATATAGACGATGGTGACTGACTGACTGACTGACTGACTGACTGACTGACGCTAATTCTAACCATNAGTCTTCTATTCAATCCATATATATATCTAATATATATAGACGATGGTGACTGACTGACTGACTGACTGACTGACTGACTGACGCAAATTCTAACCATGTTCTAGACATGATAATAGGATGAAACTTGGTACACGAATAGCCGTTAGATTGCTGACTCCAGAAAAATTCCAACTTTAGGGGTAAGTGCCCTGGGGGCTCATTCCAGGGGGTCTCACTTTGTAATCCTAGGTCCAACCCTCAGACAGAAGCCTGGGCCTAAATCATTCTCTGGCACACCTTGCCTTTAACAAAACAGAAGGAACGTGCATAGCTGATAGTTTTTCTATTCCAGAGAAGTCTAACTTCGAATGCCCAACTTTGGGGGTCCTTCCCCTTGGGATACGTTTTGGGGGGGGGGGGGGGTTGGGCGACTGATTTCGCAGGCCTAGGCTCAACCCATGGATGGATGCTTAGGGCAATACCACTCTCATATATTTTCTTCCTTCATGGAAGCAGGAGAGAAAATTAACAATAAAGTCCTTTCAGTCGAATTGGAATTATCGCCTTGAAACTCAGATGTAATGAGCTTATGTGTGTGCTTCCTACCCCCCCTCCCCCCCCCCAGATGGAGATGTAGGCTTACGCCATTCTCATNACACTTCCGTTTTCAATACAATTTGAACAAATCCCCGAACTCTGCAATCTTTTCACAAAACTTAACATCCGATTTCATTGCTAACGTACGAAAAGCGAAACTCGAAGTGCGATTTTCATATCTTCACGGACCTTTTTCGAAACTTAACATACGGAAAAGGATAAGAAGACCGATTCGACGAGTGCCAAGGATGGATGCATGGTTGCTGACTACAATCCATTGGCCTATACTCCAACAAGTCCCTTCCAACCGATCACAAAGATTTTCTCATCGTTTTGAGTTGTGAGAGCTAAATGCTTCGTCTCAAACGTTGAAAGAATTTCTTACGTCGATGCATAAATGTAATTGACAGCGATAATGCTGACTGCGATTCAGTAGTATCCTAAATACCTGATCTTGAGTATTTACTTACGATTAATTTCTGTTATTACTGGCAAAAAAGGGTGGAAAAGGGAATTGCAGCCGCGAGTTAATGGGAGAAAATTGTTGCTTATTGCCTTGAGCTGATCACATCCGTCAGTTATTTTATGATCATTTGTGTTTGCCATAGGTTGCAAAAGTTGTATGACCTTGGGGCCCATTTTCGTTCATAGATATGAGTGTTAATTGCGAAAATCTCATGTTATGATCGCCAAGTCTTTCCAATTTAGGCTTGCTCAATTGGCTCGTAGAGGGGTTTTCGACCCTGCACTCTTTTTGAATGCTAACGAGGGATGCATATTTTTTTTGCAGCCTCCTAGGAACATACAACTCAGATAGGATCGTGTCTTATTGGTATAGGAAGCGATTTCTGCCATTTTNGCATCACTGAAGTGATGTTGATTTAAGGAAAAATTCAACTTTTATTTATACGTCTCCTCAGAGCACAGCTTTTGGGCGGGTCGCTTTTCCAAATACATTTTTTTCCGCCAGCAAATAGTGGAAACGTATAAGGCTGAAACTGGGTGGCATGGAGTTCCCTGAATCTACATTTCAAAAGAAAAAAAATTTTCTTTAAAGCCCATTATACCACTTTTTTCAGTCCCATTTTCCTCATTTTTTTTCATCCAGAGGCAGAAAATTTCAACTACTTTCAGAAGTACCTATTTGATGGCTGAGTAGAGGAAAAATCCTAATTTTGAAATATGTCTCCTTAGCGTCGATTCTTGGATGGAAGTATTTCAAAATGTAATCTCCATCCTTACAAAAAGGGACACAAGGAAACATTTCAGGTTAGGCACGCACATAATCATAGAGGTAATGATTTTGATAAAAATCAAGCCTTTCGACTCCATATGTCACGTATTTCAATGGGGACGTACTTCAAATACGTGTTTGCTATTTCGAAAAGAATGAATGAAATAATCACTATACAAGGTAATAGAGCGCTGAAGGCGCGACCATAGCGAGTTTGTTTGCCCGAAGGGCAAACAAACTCGCTAGTAGATGATACTTTTAATTGTTTGCCATATACCAATGGGACTGCGATACGGGAAAGGAATACACTCTGAAAATTCCGAGCGTTTGGGGAGTAAAAAGTGAGCACACCGTGAGCTTTTCGAATTTACACTCTTATTACTCACCAAATGCTCCCTCATCGCTCGTATCGAAGTGAACACCTTGAAGTTCTTCGCCAGGCCCATAGATGGCGGTAAGGGTCTCGCTTTTCGCACAGTACACAAAAGTTCCTTGCAGGATTGTTTAGTACCTTGCCATATGTCTCGCATAGTCTCATTATAGGAATCAATAAGCACGGACACTTCATCATTTGTGATCCACATAATCAAGACATATTCATAGAGTCCAGGCCATAAACACGCTCATATTCTTATTGAGAACCCTTTTGGAACGCGTTTGGTCTTATCAGCATAGGAGACCTAGAATAAATAGAGAGTGTCCGTGAATTTCAATCATATATCTCAATTAATTGAGGTGATAAGGGACTGATATCCCGGGTACTTCACTGAACCTATAAGAGGTGATCCTTCTTCTGACCTGTGCTGCAATCAGTACTGTCAGAGGTATGTCATCGTCTGTACGAGAGCGAAAGTGACACACATTATATATGAGAATTTTCGTATTTGCATGACATCTCTATCACTTTCTGATGGGAGCGTTTTTACTCACGGAGGAGGAGAGCAATTTTACTCCTTGGTGATGGAGCAAATCCGCTCCTTTCCCAGAGTGAAAGGGGGGTGAAACTGGAGTTAGCTATTTTACTCTCTTTTTTGAGAAAAATCGCTCCCCTTTTTCTAAGAGTGTACAACCTTTGAAGAACTCTCGCTCTCGTCATCTTCCTTGCGTCGTTCTTGAGCGCTTTCAAAGGACTGAAGATTATGTAAGCGGTATCAAAATAACACGTCATTCTTCATTTTGAGAGATGAATTCCAAGAAGAAACTTTGGTGGTTTGCTTCTTTGCGGAGCATGTTAGTGGCAAAAAATTGACGAATCTTCCCGTATCTCATTATGAACGCATGAAATCCTTGGA